GACCCGACCCCGCCGCGGGAGTGCCACCGCGCTCCCAAGCAGCACACTGTAGCAGTGCGCCACCTGGCCAGCGCAGGAAGACATTTTTTAAATCTTTAATTATAGTCTTATAAATAAGATTAAGAAATATGGTCATGGAAATACCATAAGAATGTGGATTCCTGTTGGATTCAATTGCAGTTTCCAGTGGAATCATTATAGTCAACCTGGATAGAGGGTTTCATGAGTTCTCCTAAATTCTTAGTTTGCTTAAATTTTATTCATTAATAATATGCACAATTATATAGAAAATGTGCTTATCAAATATTACAAATTACCCATTTTAGAAGTTCTGTTAATACTTTGGAGTTACTTATTCAACAAATATAGCAAACTTGAGTTCTTACCATGGACCAGACAACATTGCTAGAGGTTGGGGCAAAATATATGAGTAAGACATTGAAGAGCTCACCATATGAGAAGTTTAAAATACTTCATCAGGACAGAAATACAAGTTTATGTTATCTCCTTGTACAATGACCAGGACATAGTACGTAGCCAAATTAATATTTTTAAATTAATGAATCAATCAATAAATCAACCAGAGGTAAAATCAATACTCAGCTAAAGCCGAGACCAAAGTTGAACATGACCATCAGAGAACTACAAGATTAAATAAGTAACGTTTTCCAAAAGCAATGCTTATTCCAATTTCATACTTAAGATATAATAGATTTTTAAAGTTTGACATTATAATTAGGAACTATGACTCCTCTGCTCTGTCAGCTGTAAGATTGCTCCTGTGATCAATGTGCTGCATATTTGTGATACTAAATAGACACTCACTTTCAACAGAGGTCACTGGCAGAAGAAAAAAGGAGGCTACCTTCTCCTTCTCTTGCAGCTTCATTCTTTTCTTCATACTCTACATTTATGATTAGATTTATGATGATTTATCATGGATGTAGTTATACATGATTATAGAGAGTTTTCCCTCATGTAATTTTGATGCAGCAGAATTGACATTCTGCTTTTAATTTATCCCCACGTGATGTGAAAATTGCCCTCAGTAAGACCTTACTTCGTGATTTCTGGCTCCAGTGAATTTAAATAACTATAAATTAGAAACAGCTTTTGTGGGTAATTTGGTTTAAATTTATGAATGTTAGTATAATAAATAATTCTATAGAAAAAGAATTGTGATATAATTTAATATGTTGTTCTTCTTTGTATTCCTTTTTATGTTTTACAAATATTTATTAGCTCAGAAAGGTTATTGTATACTTTCTAAAGTTATCTAGCTAATGCACACTGTCAATATATTTGTATTGGCTCTTTTCTTATTTATTAAATTATTTTAAAGTGCTTAACTGCTTTCATACATGAAATTAACTACTTCAACGATACTTATTAATTATTGTATATTTTCTACTTCCACTATCAAAATATGTTTATCCCTCAATTGACTGATAAAATTCCAACATCTTAAAGACTTAAGGAAATTTTCATTCCATGTTATATCTAAAATGTTTATCTGTATTCAAAAGTAAACATGCAGAGATAAGCAATAAATCTCATAGGTATGCCTTGTTTCTACTCCTCATTTTAATGACTA